CCCCCCCCCCCCTTTGGGCGCACCTTTTCCCACCCGCCGTTTTTGTTTTCGCTCCCGCAACGGTACGCCCCCCCCCCCCCCGCGCCCTCACCCGTACCCCCGCCGTCCCACACCACCCCCCCTCCCCATGTGGGGCGAGACCCTCCCCGCACGGTCCTCCGCGAGCAAGAAGGACATCCTGGCGGCGTCGCCCACGCCGCCGCCGGCCGCCATCCATGCCGACGAGGCTATCTTCGCCGACAAGGCGCGCAAGTTCGACGACGCGGACGCCTCGTTCCGCGCCCTGGTCGAGTCGCTCGCCGCGTACAAGACCGCCGTCCTGTGCGTGGCCGAGTGTGGCGTCACCGTCGCCACCAACATGCAGCGCTTCTTCGCTGCGCCCTCGTCCCACCACAACCACCTCGTCGCAAACTTCCTCGACGCACAGATAGCCGTCCGCGCAAAGTGGCTCAGCGAGTCCGAGAAGAGTTTCGACGATAACGTCCTCGCCCCTATTAAGAGCCGTCTGGACGAGATTCCAAAGGTACGCGACTATATCAAACAGCGCAGCGCAGCCTTGGCCGAGATGCAGAAGCGCCAGAAAAAGCTCCAGACCGAACGCAAGCGCGACGGCTCGCGCCTGCGCGATAAGCAACGAAGGCTCAAGGAGATTTCCGACCGCTATGCCATGTTTCACGACGAGGTCATCCAGCGCTTCAACTACATCGAAAGAAACATGGGTTCGTTTGTCACCGCTCCGCTCCGCTCGCTCGTCCTTGTCTTGGCCGACCAAGCCACGGCCACGGTTGACACCCTGGACGACCTCGTCAAGCTTGTGGAGAAGACTCCTCCCATCACCACCGAGCTCTCCCCGGCCGCCCCAATGACCTCCCTAACCGACATCGCTGGCGGTATTGTTGACAAGGAGACTTGGGATGACTCGTATGCTTTTGAAGACGATGGAGACGATGAGGACGACGACGAGCGTGACCACCCAGAACTCGATGACCTTGAAAGCGAAACCACCAGCGCCCGCGCAAGTGGCCGACGTCCTCCAAGAGATGCTGCACGTGGACGCGTTCGCAGTGCTGACGCCGTCCCAAAGGGCCCCGCCACCTCAATATCTGCTTTGGACACCGGCCTCACCCTCGACCTTTCCCTCGCGACAAGCCCGCGAAGAGGCCGATCGGCAAGCTCTGCCCATGTTGATGCCGCTGCAGCTTTCTCTCCGACACTATCTCTTCCACTTCCTGCTTCTGGCGTGGGCCCGCTGCAGCGAGAAAACACCACTCCCGCCGGTTCCCAAAGTGGTCGTGGAACAGTGCACGGCTTGGAGCCTTACTTTTTACCTTCCATCGGTACCTCAGCGGCGAGCAGCACATCCACGACGGAAAACGTTTCCCCTGACGCTGGCTTGAAAGGTTCGGCACAAAGTCAAGATCCTTTTCAAAGAAGAAGGCATCGCGAGGGCAAAGGAAGCCGGGATACCGTCAGTTCAGGTGAAGCTCCTGTCCGCCAAGAAGTTCTCATGAGACTTCTAGCAATCTACGATTTTGTTCCCCGTGAATCCAACGAGCTTGAGATTCACATCGGTGATGTAATCGAAGTGAGTTCCAAGAATGAGAGCGGCTGGTGGTGCGGCCGGTTGGGCAAATCAACAGGATACTTTCCACGCAACTATACGCGACAGCTCTCGGAACAGGAAGAGCTCGAGTACCTCGCCGAAAGGCGTCGAAGAAGACGAAGAGGCCACAGGAGGCATCAGTCAAATGAGTCTCATCGATCAGGGCGGAGTGCATCACAGCCATCGCTTGCAGTGTTGTAACGAGAAATTGAGATGCCGCAATGGTTTGAAGCTACTTCCCAGTGGTGCACGTTAGGGTCACTGGACACCAAAGCTGAATCACACATTATGTAGACCCCGGCGGATTTTTCGGGGAAGCCGGTCCATATGTGGGATATAGAGAATCCGGTAACATAGTAGTTTTGGGCTGCTTGCAGACCATGTAAGGAGATATTGTAATATTGTAAGCCGCGAAGACCTTTTCCGTTGTGTCGAAACACGCTATCCCTAAACCTAACACCCAAACACAAAATTTCGAACCAAACCAAAATGCGCAATCTTAAACTAAAACTCTTCGTTGGAATCTGGTGGGGGGAGCTTTATTTCATTTCGGGCGATCTGCGCAGTGCACCCAGAGGTTAAGATTTGGGAAGACAAGAGTCATGGTTGCCTCATGAAATGTAGCATTTCGCTCTATGCAATGTGACACGTTTATACGCGGGCATCATGCTTGTGATACCTGACAGAACTGAAGACAGAACTGATGAGGCTGCTATCTTTCCCGTCCGTCAACTATCAATGCTTTCCTTCCAGATGCCCGCAAACTCCTTCATATATGCAGAGGCGATCCGTGTTCTTGAGTGGATTTATCTATGTTTAAGGGCATCACATGTAGGCTTCCCCAGGAAGATCACCCATGCCGTCACCGGCAGGCGGTGTTTTCTCGGGAATTTCGACAACAACGCATTCCGTGGTCAAAATCATTCCCGCAACGCTAGCCGAGTTTTCCAAAGCCCAGCAGGTAACCTTCGCGGGATCAAGCACACCACTCTCAACCAGATTCTCGTATTCGCCAGTTGCCGCGTTGTAGCCAAACTCAAAGTCGTTGTTCAGAACCTTTTCCAAAACAATTTCTCCGGCGATTCCAGCATTGAAGCAAATCTGTCGCAGTGGAGATGTGATTGCAGCTTGTACAATGGAAGCACCAACCTTCTCGTCCTCCTCCTCCAAAGTCGTCGCAAAGTCGGGGATCAAAAGTGACAGATGTGCCAAGGCAGCGCCACCACCCGGCAGAATACCTTGCTCCATTGCAGCCTTCGTAGCGTTAAGAGCATCTTCGCAACGAAGCTTTTTGTCCTTTAACTCGGTCTCCGTAGCAGCTCCGATGAGAATACGTGCGACGCCACCGCCGAGGCGAGCGCGACGCTCTTCCAGCTTCTCGGTATCGAACTGTGAATCGGTATTCTCAAGCTCTATGCCGATTTGGGCAATCCTAGACTTAACTGCTTCTTCATGCTCGCCGGTTGAAACGATCGTGGTAGATTCCTTCCCGACGACAATGCGTTCTGCAATGCCGAGATCAGTCATCTTCACCTCCTCAAGGCTCATTCCCAAATCTGAGCAGATGAATGTTCCCCCAGTGATGACCGCAATATCCTCAAGATACTGCTTGCGCCGCTCTCCAAACCCAGGCGACTTGAGGGCGACAATGTCCAGTACACCTCGCATCTTGTTAACAACCATTGTTGACAGAGCCTCACCAGCGAGATCGTCACAAACGATCACGAGAGGTTCTTTTGTTTTAACGAGCCCCTCAAGCAAGTTGACAAGATCCTTGACAGCGCTGATCTTTTGATCAGTAATGAGCACACGAGGCTTGATCATTGTGGCAACTTGACGCTCTTGATCCTTGACAAAATATGGGGATATGTAACCTCTGTCTAGTTCCATACCTTCAGTAAACTCTACGGAGTTGCCTAGACTCTGTCCCTCTTCCACGGAAGTTGTACCGGTGGGTCCAATCTTCTCGTAAGCCGTTGCAATGATTTCACCAATTTCCTGATCATTTCCAGCAGAAATAGTGGCAACGGCGCGAATATCATCCATGCCCTTACTCGGACGAGCACGGCGCTCCAATTCCTTGACCAGGAACTTGACGGTCTTGTCAATTCCCTTTCTCAACGCAATTGGGTTGCGGCCACTGCCAACAGCCTTTATGCCTTGATGAACAATTTCCTGACAAAGCACAGTCGAGGTGGTGGTACCATCTCCGGCCTTAGAATCGGTCTTCGAGGCTACCTCCTGTAACAACCTGGCTCCCGCGTTGGCCATGGGGTCCTCCAGGGAAATTTCCTTGGCGACAGTAACTCCATCGTTGACAGAAAGCGGGGCTGAGAAAGATCCTCGGCCAAGGACGACGTTGCGGCCTTTCGGGCCAAGTGTGACCTTGACGGCATTGGCAACTGCGTCGACACCCACAATGAGAGCGCGCCTGGATTTCTCCCCGAAGGCAATCTCCTTCGGTCCCATTCTAATGGCTGTCGATGAGCGCGACGAGCGACGGGCAGCCAAAGCATTTGAAGAGGGACCAGACGTGATGGCTCTCTGTGTGGAAATGAAAGGACCACGGGAGCCAACGGGCATGGCAGGGGCAAATGCGAAGCTCTTCATTTTTGAACGAGGGGGACAGACTTTCTAAGTGGAAAAACAGGAAACTTCCGAGTGACGAAGCTTCTGTTGAAGTCGATGACACGTCTGTGAAGCAAAGAGAGGGCGATGAGGGGGATGCTAAAGCGGCGGAGAATGCTGGTGGGCTGATCGTCGGCAGATCGTCGGCGGTGACCTTAACAGAAATTGTGAGCCTCGCCCAAACTTTGATCTCGCTCTTGCCACGTGTCCACGTTACGTTTATATTGATTCAACTTGTCCGATCTCGTCGCCCGCCTCCCAACGGAGGGGTAGATCATTCACATCGGCTGCGATGCGCATATTAGTACAATACACCTTCGGTACAGCATCTACTGTACACTCAACTTCTCGAAATGTGTATCCCATTCATCCCTCGTCCCCGACCTCATTCGCAAAGTCACAAAAGTTAAGCGATATGCCAGTCCATGATGACCATCAATGTCGGTGATGCACGAACAACCGTGACGGCATTCATAATATATCAGCCCTGATAACGTTCATGGAGCACGTAGTCTCCAAGCTTTTGGCATAGAAGTCAAGATTTGCATCTCTGCAAATATGTTTCCATGTGCATTAACAATTGCGGGTTCAGACTCAGGGGGTGGAGCTGGTATCCAGGCTGATTTGAAGACTATGACCGCGCTTGGCGTCTATGGAGCTTCTGTGATCACTGCGTTGACAGCTCAAAACACAATCGGAGTCCAGGCTGTACATGTTCCTCCGACATCTTTCGTCAAGCAGCAGCTGGACAGCGTCTTCATAGACATTGAATTTTCGGTCGTCAAGACAGGCATGCTTCCCAATGCTGAGATAATCAAAATTGCTGCGAATGCTGTTCGCTCATACAATGTCTCCACTCTTATCGTTGACCCAGTGCTTGTAGCCACCAGTGGTGACTCACTCGTATCTGGAGACTCTACGTTAAACGCCCTCATCTCCGACTTGTTACCCCTTGCTACTCTGGTGACCCCGAACATCCCTGAAGCCTCCAAGCTCACTGGCAGGCCCATTCACACTTTGACAGATGTGCGGCGAGCATGTGTAGCCATACATGCCATGGGATGCAAGAACGTGTTGATAAAAGGAGGGCATCTAGGCTTTGACACCCCTCGGCAACAACGCCTTTCAGGTGATGAAGTCGACCCCGATGTCGCGACTGATATCTTGTATGATGGAAAAGACTGGCAGGCATTCACAAAACCGCGCCTAGACTCAAGTAGTACACATGGAACTGGATGTACCCTCGCCTCAGCAATTGCTGCCGAGGTAGCAAAGGGACAGCCATTGCAACAGGCAATTACTACAGCTAAAGAATACGTCTATCAAGCAATCAACTCGGCCTTCAGGGTTGGAAATGGGTGCGGACCGCTGAATCATATGCATCCATTCCTCAGCAGCTGATATAGAGAGTCCTTCCGGGCGCAAGGTGCGGCCCGCCGAAATTTTCCTCTGGAAGGCCCCTCTTCACCGACGGATTGTTCTCAGCGCCGCTGCCGCTTCCCGCAGCACAAGAGGGCGGATAGTGAAGAACAACACGAAAGGGGAAAGCACAGTCGACAGTGTTGTGATACAAGTGGACCTGTTCGTCAGTACCATTTGTTCGGAGAAAAGTCGCCAGGACAAGTTCAAAGGGGCATGCGACCAAGTGTTGATTCACAGCAGATCTCGGCATGCAATCTGTCTTTGGACAGTACGAGAAGCGTTTCGAGAATGCTAGCGTTGAAGGTTAGCATGGGTTGACCCGGTGTATATGTATGTTCTTTCCCCGTTCCTTGCCCTTGGGGCGGCACGATGCTGGTCTTTTTTGAGCATTGAGGTAGTCCCCGGACTGGTGAATGAAGGGCGCAGAATATCTAACGGGGTAGCCACGGAAACGTTCACAACGGCTCCTGAACTGCTACTCTCGCTCTTTGACACTCTCGCCCTCAATGGAGATCCCGGTCATGCTCGTTTGTTGATGTGAGCATGCCTTAAAGTGGCCTCACAAGACGTCATGGAATAACGTATACATTAGTGCCGTGGTGATTCTGTAATATTAAAACTCTCTCCGTGAGATATGGCCCTATTCAATTGTGCGCAGTTTTGATCCAAGGCTGCATCGTAAAAGAGCCAATCACCTCCTTCCTCCGTCTGCTGCGCTTATCAGACTATTGACGGCTGATTTCATTCTCGGCGCTCTTATTCGCGCCGCACGCCGTGAGAAGATTCCCGACCCGGCGAGACTTCCAGCCTAGTGTTGCGAATTGCGGTACGGGCTTGAGAGCCGCTCGACCCCAGAGGAATGCCAGTTTTGATGTCCGAAATGGACCCCAGAAATCAAGGTGAATCTACTTTTGAAGTCGTCCGCGAAAGCGCCGGCAGGTCTGCGACTGTTTCTGTCGCCTTGCCATCATCGATACTATCAAATGCTCAATCTCCTGAGCTCAGGATGTACTTGGCTGGCCAAGTAGCCCGTTGCATGGCCATTTATTGCGTTGACGAAGTCATCATCTTCAAAGAGCAAGGCGACGGACAAGCCACGGGCGACCGGCAGGATTCCCGACGAAGAAATCACGAGCATACCCAGTTGGATAACACCGACTTCTTCAAGCTCATATTGGATTACCTTGAAACTCCGCAATATCTGAGAAAACACTTGTTCCCTGTCTCATCTGAGTTACGCCTCGTTGGTCTTTTAAATCCTCTAGCACTGCCTAGTCATGTTGCTCGAAACGAACCCTGCCGATGGCGAGAGGGAATTGCTGTGGGGCGCGGCAACTACCCAAGAAACCAGCACCGCAAAGCACCCAGCTATGGCAACGTCTCTATGAATACAAACTTGGGGCCGCCGACAAAGTTTATAGATGTCGGGCTAGACAAATTAGTAGAAATCGACTGCACTGTCCCTATTGGGGACAGGGCCACCGTCGACATGGAACCATCCGGTCCAGATTACGGCTCGTGTCCTGGGAAATATCTATTTGGGCGACTAGTAGATCATGACTGCCCAAAAAAGACGGAAGGCACATATTGGGGCTATCGTACCAGAATCGCAGAGTCACTCTCCGACGTGTTTCGCGATAGTGCCGTCTCACTGACTGGATACGATCTAACTCTCGGGACCTCGGAACGAGGCACACCAATATCCCCGCATTCAGACCAGTCAGACCTCTGTCTTCCGGAGTTCAAGCACTTACTTATTGTATTCGGCGGCGTGAATGGTCTCGAGAAGAGCGTCATTGGAGATGAGGGTTTAGCCTCTCTTGGCATTTCGCCCTCCCTAGTCCAAAACGAGAACCATCACAGTGTTGGTGATTTGTTCGACTTCTACGTTAATACATGCCCCAACCAAGGGTCTCGGACCATTCGAACAGAAGAAGCCCTTCTGATCTCCTTGGCAGCATTACAACCACTACTAAATCCCCAAAAAGCACAATGAGTGCCGTGCGTAACACGAAAATCTCGCCTTCAGCAACTATCGTTTTCTGCGCCCGGTTGCTAACCTTTTAGCCGCGTTGCTCGCTGGATTGGGTCCGGGGTTCAAGGAGGAGTCTTGGTTTGCCCCAGAGCCGCTAGTTTGGCCAAATAGTCCAGCCCCAGTGGAACTGCCGCCCCCGAAAAGACTTGCCCCCTTGTCGGAGCTGCCTGTGTTACCCACTGCTCCAAAAATACCGCCCGCTGCACCAGTACTTCCTCCTTGAATATTCAAGGGAGCTGATTGTCCCGCAGCAGCCGCTGCGGGGTTTGCAGACTCGTTCATCGAGAATCCAAACCCGTTCTCAGCAGCCTTGTTCTCCGCACTCTGCCTTCGCTGCTCTTCAGCTTTCTCACGCCGATCTGCTAATTCGAACGGATTCAGCGCGTCGGGATCCCTTACACGAAGAAGCTGGAGGAACTGCTCTCGAAGGGCCCACAAATTCTCGTGGACACCTCCTATGTGACTTGCCACGACCATAAAATACTCGTACTGCCTCCGAATGATGTCCTCAATCGTCTTTCCCCTAGATTCCATTGACATGTCATTCGCACCGAGCCCGATACCGAATTGCCTTTGTGAAATGCTGTCCAATAGGCTTCCATTCGCAGTCCCCGTCGCACTATGCGACGAAGGGGCAATTGCAGATTTTCCGCCGCTGCGACTCAAGACTAATCCCTTTGCTCTTAAAAACTCTGCAATTTCGTCGATCTCTCTCTTGTATTCATGTGCCCTTGATTCCAATTCATCTAGAGTTCGCGAGAAATAGTCCTCTGGAACGTGAGTTACTCGATCTCGCATTTGGACAGAGGAGCCATGATAGTTAAATGAAAATGCATCATCGAACAACACAGCTTCAGACCTGAAGCTGTTCTTGGAGAGGTTTTCTAGGGCAAGTACGACCGGCTCTGTCGAACCCCTTTCAATCCGCACAGCGGCCTTTAGAGTTTCCGAATTAGCCCTCAATGCCTCCAACACAGCGCGAAGCTTAGCGAGACGACGTGTAATATTTGTGGAGCGCGTTTTCGTTTGTGCGATATCCGAGTCAAAATTGCTGCCTGTCGATAGTAATTGAGTCCCTTTTATCCGCTGCTCTCGCAAGTGTCTCTCAACTGCAAACAGATCGGTCTGGAAGTTCTGTGGAAGCTGCCATACACGAGTGCGCAGGTTGATTTCGGAGGTCTGAGACTGTGACTGTTGGGGCTGCTGTTGTTGAGGGGCGGCACCGAAGAGAGATGGAGGATTCTGTGACTGTGCACCGAACAATGAGGCCCCCTGTGCTGGCGCACCAAAGAGAGAAGAAGAGGATCCAGGTGCGCCAAATGACGCTGTCGTGGACTGTGCCTGAGCACCGAATAAAGAGGGCTGAGTGGCAGGCGCTCCAAACAAAGAAGCCGAGCTTTGTTGCGGTGCTCCGAACAAAGAGGCAGATTGAGCTTGGCCTCTAAAAAGAGATGCTGAACTCTGTTGCGAGGCGCCAAATAATGAAGGCGCCTGCGTCGGTGCTCCAAAAAGCGATTGAGAACTCTGTGTCGTGGCGCCGAAGAGGGATTGAGAGCTTTGCGCTCCGCCGAAGATGGATTGAGAAGTCTGCTGATTCGCGCCAAACTGCGGAGCAGCGTTTTGGACGGGACCACGAAAGGAGTTTTGGGCCGGTACGCCAAACGTTGGTGCAGCAGTACCAAAAGTCGGTTGCGACGCACCCTGAGTTTGCCCAAAGATACTCATATCAGCTGAGCCTACAGCAGTAACTGGTAGAAAGATGCAGGCCCCTTCAAATTGGGTGCGTAGCTGATGTCCGCTATGGAGCGGTTGGCAAGGCGCACCGCACCGACTTTGACGATTTGTTCAGCGTGGTCAACTGTTACAGTGTGGAGGTTGCCACGACCAGACTACGCCTCGAGTCGAGTTCAAACTAATTTTAATACATATTGCGCAGCCTTTCAGCGAAATCAGCCATTTAAATTTGGATGTTTTTTTGTGTTCACACCCGTGCTTCTCCGCCGCGGTTTTCCGCCGTCTGCGATGTCAGGCCTCAATGGGGGCCCCTTTTTTGGGGTGCCGCTGTACTTCTTTACATGGTACCCAAGAGTACCTTCGAAGGTACAGTAAATTAGGAGGGTTGTTGGTCTGCACGGCTTCGCGCTGGCTCTACCCAAGGGTAGCTAGTACACGTGTAGTGTCTACCTCGAGAGGTAGACGGCATGCGATTTGCCTCATTTGAGGCAAGCTTTTTTTTGCAAAAAAATATACAATATACATTAAATCGAAACTTTATAAAGTCAGTTTGGACGCCATTTCTTTAACGAACATGTCCCGCGGCAATAACATCTTGCAAAACATTGGGATAGCACTTGACAATACACAGAAAGACTAAGAATCTAATCAAGTTTCAATAATCGGTTGATATTTTCAACACGCCTCTTCGTTCGTTTCGAAGATAGTCTGGTGTCTAGTGTCTAGACGACCGGCAATTTGCCTCATATGAGGTCAGGCTTGGCCTCATATGAGGCCGGGGTTTTTTTTGCAAAAATGTATACATTAAATCGAAATTTTATAAAATCAGTTTAGACACCATTTCTTTAACCAATATTCCCTCGGTAATAGCTTCCTGCAAAACATCGGGATAGCAGTTATGAATACACAGAAATACTAAGAATCTAATATAGCTTCAACAATCGGATGATATTTTAAACAGGCGTTTTGGTTTCGAAGATATCAACAAAAAATGTTTTGATGTTCTTTAAAAAAGCTTCTTCTTTAGGTATTCTCAAAAAGCCTGGAAAGGACGTGCAGATCTCACCAAGCTCCACCCTTGCACAGCGCAGAAGGCAACTGCGGTGGCGAGAGTATCTTTTTCCATTTTGTTCAGCTAGCACAAGTCGAGAAAAATTAAGTTGAAAAGTGACCTCATATGAGGCCATTTGTCACCTAGACACTAGACGACAAGCGATTTGACCTCATATGAGGTCAGTCATGGCCTCATATGAGGCCAGTTTTTTTTTGCAAAAATATATATAAATTAAATCGAAACTTTAAAAAGTCAGTTTGGACACCATTTCTTTAACGTATTTGCCCTCGGCATTAACATCTTGCAAAACATTGGATGGCAGTTTCCAATGCACGGAGAGACTAAGAATCTAATGAAGTTTCAATGATGAGTTGGCTTTTTAAACAGGCGTTTTGGTTTCGAAGAAATCAACATAAAACGTTTTGAGGTTGGTCAAAAAGGCTCCTTTTTTGGGCATTTTAAAAATGGCTGGAAAAGACGTGCAGATCTCACCAAACTCCGCCCTTCCGCAACGCAGAAGTCAACTGCGGTGGCGAGAGTATCTTTTTCCATCTTGTTGAGCTAGCGCAAGTAGAGAAAAAATAAGTTGAAAAGTGACCTCATATGAGGTCATTTGTCACCTAGACACTAGATAGTCTAGATCTCTAGCTAGCTATCGTATCCAAGAGGCATGAAGATTCTACGTCCTGCGCCGTCACATGAGCCTTGTTTGCAGAGCAAGAGTGCCAACGCAACTGCTTCAAGTGGCGTCTGACTCCTCCAGTCTTTCTACTGCTGTATTCATTCCACAGCTGCGCATTACCATAGATACTCCTCCGGTGCACATCCGACAGTCCACCCCTACGAGGTTAGGTGTAGAGGCCCGATAACGGGAGAATGAAGTTCGTAAATATGAGCAAGCAAACACTGGGTAGAGGGGGTAGCGAAGGCCCCTTCGAGGCAGACATAACTTTTATTTCTCTTCAACGTTTCCTAGATCTACGAAATGCACATATTAAGCCGGAACAAATTACCAATATGTATTATCACGAAGCCACACTCCAACCACGTTTCCAGTGCTGTCTCCAAGACGAATCCCAAATTTCCTTAGCTCATCGTATGTGAAGATGAACACGGAAAACGGGATGGCAGGGAGCCAGTGCACAAAACGAAGGGGGCGCGTTGAGAACGCAGTCTGAATGAACGGAACGTAGCAAAGAAGTGCGCAAAGGGCCACCTCCGTGAGGAGACCAATGTTCAGGACCAGATTTTTCATGCCCTGCTTGAAGAATGAGAGTAGGCGAGTCTTGCAAACAAGAAGACCACCCATTTGTACAATTACAATACAGACGAAGAATGCAGTCTGCGCGTGCTTCAAAGTTTCATCCTGCATCCGCTCAGTGTACAGGTCGAAGCAGCCTTCTCCATCTTCTTCACCTTCAACCACCTCCGTGTTCACCTGTCGTTCCACTTCGTCCGTGTCCAGGATGTTCTCGAACGGAATATTCACGGCAGTCGAATCCGTATTCAATCCGAAGCAACGACCGAAGTCGTTCTCAACTGTTTCATCATCAACCTGGCACGAGAAAGCTGCGCAAGGCGGAGTTTTCTCAACAGTACCGATGATCTTGAACATGTTCCGAAGTTGGTTCACATTCGCATCCAGAATCAGCTGCTCGAAGATGACGCCTGTGCCGTCACCGCCATCGTCTTCGCTCGCTTGCTGCTGGATGAAACCGGGTTGTACCGCCGTGAAAAATTCCCGGAAGTCACGTCCGTCGTTACCATCGAAGAAGTCTGCACGTAAAGACCTACCACCGACCCTCGGGCGAACTGCGTAAAGCCAACGCTTATCCTCCTTACTGGGAGACGCAAGATGGGCATCTTCGTCGAGGAATAGCAGCACATTGGCAGTGAGTCCATAGTCTCCAAGGACGATGAGGTAACAGTAAAAGCCAGCCAATGCCTGAATGACACCGATTTGGAAGTATGAAAACGAGATGAGACGCCTGTTCACAAGACGATCCACTCGAGAGTCACGAGGTGGACGAAGCATGATATCGGACTCAGCATTCTCGTAGGCAAGGGAAATGGCAGGCAACAAATCGGTTCCAAGATCGATGCAAAGGATGAGAACAGTTGTCAAAGGAAGCGGGATCTGAAAGATGATGAAAGCCAAGAAAGGAGTAATTTCCGGAATGTTACTCGTAAGCGTGTAGGCAATACTCTTCTTCAGATTGTCAAAGATGAGACGACCTTCCTCGACACCGGCCACAATAGAGGCAAAGTTGTCATCAAGCAAGATCATGTCGGCGGCTTCCTTCGAAACATCGGAGCCTGCGATCCCCATGGCAATACCAATGTTGGCCTTCTTCAAGGCGGGGGAATCATTGACACCGTCGCCGGTAACAGCAACAATGTTTCCGAGTCGCTGGTTGTTTTCCACAATGATGAGTTTCTGCTGCGGAGATGTACGAGCAAACACAATCTGCTCGTGGGCAAGGATGCGATCCCAATCGTCCTGCTCCAAGTCCTTGATTTGGGAACCGGGAACAACAATGGCATTCACCTCGGAAGGGTCTACGTCGGACGGGTTGATCCCTCGCTCCTTGGCAATATCCTCGGCGGTTGACTCCTTGATGATATTGACCTGCTTGGCAATTGACTTGGCAGTGGCTGGATGATCACCAGTAACCATGACAACTTTAACACCGGCACTCTGGCAAGTGGCGACAGCGTTCGGCACAGCCTCACGAGGCGGGTCCAGAAGAGCCATCAGGCCGACAAATACCAAACCTTCCATGGGGAAGTTGATCTCCTCCACATCAAACTGGAAACCAACAGGATACTCGGCCGGGTCAAGATCCAGCTTGGCGAATCCCAAGCAACGCTCTCCTCTTTCCATCATGAAAGCGAGCTGCTCATTGATAACGGCTTTGGCATCGGCATCGAAAGGAACCGCACCCTCTTTCGTGAGGATGCTTGTGCACCTATCCATAACACGTTCAGGGGCACCCTTCATACACAAACGGAGGCGATCTCCCGCATCCGCAACTTTGTTGATTGTGATCATGAATTTGTTCGCAGAGTTGAAAGGAATGGTCGAAACCTGAGTGTTGCGAGAACGGATTGCACTGACAGACGTAATCTTCTCCGAAAACTTGAGAATACCAGCCTCTGAAGCATCACCATTGACCTTGCGCTCGTCAATTGATTTCTCCGGGTTATCATCTAGATCTTTAGCATCGAACATGGCCTTCGCGCAGTTCGCACCAATGTAGAACAGCTCCTTAAAGCACGAATCCTCAGTGTCAAAAGTAGCTTCAGTCGCGGCCGTCTTCGTAGTGTACAGCGCATTGTTGTACGCGAGATGGACAATAGTCATTCGGTTCTGAGTAAGAGTACCTGTCTTGTCTGAGCAAATGCAAGTAGTCGATCCGAGTGTCTCGACAGCCTCTAGCTTTTTCACGAGCACTTGTTTCTTGGCCATACGCTTCGCGGACAAGGTGAGGGAGACCGTCACAGTAGCAAGAAGACCTTCGGGGACATTTGCGACAATGATACCGATGCAGAACACAATGTTGGTGATAACTTCAGTTCCCTTGATGAGACCGATGATGAAAAACAGAACACCAAGCGAGATTGCAACAGAAGAAATGATGATAACGAAATGATGAATATCAAGCTGCAGGGTAGTGACCTCTGCGCTAGATCCAGCAGCGAGACCAGCAATGCGACCGAATACAGTACCATCACCAGTGTTGACAACAATACCAACGCAAGTTCCATCGACAGCCAATGTACCAAAGAAGGCAAGATTCTTGGTCTCGAGGGGATTGTCATCAGTGCAATCAACGGTACGGCCAATGGGTTCGGACTCACCAGTGAGGGGAGAGTTGTCGACCTTCAGCTTCTGGTTTTCCGTTAGACGAATATCGGCTGGGAGTTTATCTCCCAACTTGACCTCAATGACGTCACCGACAACCAGAGTGGATGCGTCGATCTCGGTGACCTTTCCGTTACGGCGGACGACAGACTTCGGCGGGAGGAAATTCTTGAACTTCTCCATAGTCTTCTCACTCTTGAACTCCTGGAAGAATGAGAAGATGGCAGTGATAATGACGACACCGTACAAGACACAACCGAGGTAGAGATTGTCAATAGCATCCTTGTCCAGGGCGTAAGCAATGAAGCAAAGGATAGAAGCAATCTGGAGCAACAAAGCGAAAAAGTTGAGGAACTGGAGACCGAGTTTGATCCACCAGGGGGTCACTTTAGGCGGGGAGAGCATGTTAGGACCGTCCCTGTCATAGCGGATCTTGGCCTCAGCATCGGTAAGACCCTTTTGCGCGTCAGTCTTGAGCTTGCTGCAAAGCTCTTCGACAGAAACCCTGTGTTCCCACATCTCCAGCTCCTTCTTGAGATCTTCCGTTTTGTCAACATCCTTGCCCTTCTTTTGCCTTTCGATGGCTTGAGACAAGCGTGCGCTCGTCTCTGAGAACTGACGGGCCATCTCCAGCTCATTGTGACTGAGCTTACGGCCTCCAGCCTGGACGTCGTCACCTCCCATGATGAGTGGTGTAGC